AACCTTTTTCGTAAGGGATAACTGTTTCCGCTTTGGTATACGGACAGGCATGAAATCATCATCGGACTAAATACAAAGAAAGTGTTAATATCTGACAGCCAACATTTTGTCGATTCACACAACTTCTAGCAAAAAATGCACACCTCTAAACATTCATTTGGTAATGGAGCATCTGCATCTATCTCTCGAAGATTCGAAACTTTCGAAACGATTGTATTTGCATTATGTTTAGCCGTGGCGTCCAATATTTTTAGACTACCGGATATATGATTATTGATTACGGATTTCTGTTTATCAAAATATAATGAATGTACCAGTAATAGATCAAGCAAAATTGTAATAATCTTGACTTACTTGTCCTTTTTCATTGACAATATTTTGCCAATAATACATTAAAGACTTATTCGAAGTTTCTGATTTAACCTGTTATGGAAAATAATTAATTAGTAAAAATATTTTTGTGAATATCAATCATAGCGAAACCCATGAAAACGCAATGATGGTGCCTAGCCGATCACTAGATACTCCAAAGTCAACCGATCACTGACCAGGAGCGCAACCACCACCACTCGAGCCAGCCGATCACTGAATACCCTTAATCAACCGATCACTGACTAAGAGCTCCCTTTTATTTATTTTCTTAGAAAAAAGAAGAATACAGAACCTTTGCATATATATCATCGTACTTTTCAGGAATAATATCTTTTACATTTCCTAAAAATCTCGTTTCCCATGCTGTTTCCAAACCATTCCAGTTATCAGTATTCGGTGGAGAGTCTATAATCATTTCCTGGTAAAGGTCTACGAACTCGCGAAATGAACAAGTCTCGTTACGATTTCTTATGTAAGAACAAATGGCTAAAGAGATGGTTGGTTGGTTAGCATCAAAAAGAGAATATTAAGGAGGTAAGTTGAGTCACTGTGCAATTAGAACTTACATGTATAGCCGGGATAATATTTTGACATACTGTATTTAAAACTAGGAACGAGAGTATACCAATAATAATGTCAGCTCCCTTCCAGAGATGTCTCTCAAATCATGGGATGATCGGCTGTTCCTGTGATACAAATCACCCGTGATTTTCGAACTGCATGTGAAATGGAAGTCATGTGACCCAACTCTCATTGACTCTTTTCGCCAAGAAACAATTTTGTGAATAGGCACAGTAGGTTATGGCAGATCGGTTTAAACTTAAGGGACCGCAGTACTAGGATCTCTCATGATATTTATTCGAAAAAAGATAACCTATCCCGGGCAGATATGTTATCTGGATATACTAATGAAAAAAGTTTGGCCAATACATGCTGTATCATATAACAATCGTGAAGACTCTTCTCACTTCCAACCAATAGAAGTGGGATCTACCAGCTAATTATATGATAAAATCTTTCTGGTGAGTCCTGCAATAAAGTAACGTCACATCACCCATATACAGCATACATTTGGTTAAAACGACTTGCAAACTAACTTTATTTATTAATCATAAGAAATAGCAAAGATAAACTAAAAAACATTTTGATATGTGGCGCAGTGGTCACGTGGCGT